TTTTTTTTTTCCTTTTCTCCCGTTTCGATTTTTCCGTTCGGTTCAGACACGTCCGATCGCGTGCAGCCGATCAGAGAAGCGTGGAAAGGAGGAAGAGCGCTGGAGCGGCGGAAGAAATCGGAAGAAACTCGAGAAGGAGGGAAGAAAATCTCGTGAACGGACCAACGATTCAACGCCGTTAACACGTAAGCAAGATATCTTTTTCTTTCATTCCTTTCCCACTGTCGAGAGCCTTGTTAAGATCGTACGGTGGATGTTCGACGGTTACCCATTAGATCGATCAAGTTCTTTCTCGTTACAATCGTTCCGACGTTATCGATCATTTGCTCGTTTCTTTTTTTTTTTTTTTTTTTCGATTCGGTTAGCAAAAACGAAGGTATATACGCGAACAGGTATACGCGCATAAGCCATGGCGTGCACATGTACAGTTATTTAATATTTATCACTGGCGACCTCATTTATTTTAAGTTATCGGATATCGGTATTCTTGTCGAGTCCACGAGCCTCTGCGCATCATCGAAGCAACCGTGGAAAAAGCTGATGCGAGAAATCGGATACAAACGAAAATAGTGGCCTGCCAAAGGCAGAAAGTGTAACGTGAAATCGTCGCCGATATATGCCTACAACGCCGCGTGACATCGCTCCGTAAAAGCGAATTTAAAGGTCCCGGGGAAACGGTTCATTGGCTGCGCATGCCTGCGTTAAGTAGATCAAAAGCTCTCGTGGCTCTCGATACATTCGTACGATCTATATTAATTTCTCGTAGATCCATCGTGTTCACTTGATTTCCATGGATTCAATCGAATTCAAACGCGGATAACGGTAATTCAAACAAAGCGAATGGTACAGCGGATACTTGGCTCAATGGATGAACATGAAATGAGTTTTCATCGAAATTTTCTATGACGGGTTTATTTGTGTTTTAGCGCGCCTCGACGGCGTGTAAACTAGCGACATCGTTGCCCAATCAGACGAATATTCTGGAATATAAACATTGTGCGTTTCGTGGGAACACTTGAATTTGAAATCTGTGTTTCGGTGGAACAGTAGCGACATCTTCTTAATTCAAATCATACAAATACATACAATTGCGAGTTAACTTCGATGGATTAAATAGTTATGTCGTGGATGTTTGTTGTTGGTTGGGATTTCAGATAAATCTCATAATTTGGAGAAATATAGAAGAAGAGTAGCGTGACAAATATAAATAGTTGAAAATTTATCTCGGAATTCACGATTACTTACGTGATGTCTCTACGACGAATAAACTTGTGGAAGTAAGTTCATTTCTTCTTCGAGATATTATACATTAATCAATTCAAGCGAAAAAATTAAAGTAACGTAAGTTGTGAAATTTATGTGCATTTGTCGAGTATTTTAAATTGTTTAAACGGATGATTATTCGTCTTGTGATTTATTCAGGTTTTATCGTGTGCAAATTAATGAATTAAATGAAGCGTGAAGGATCATATAAAGATAAGATTAGTGCGGTTGATAGGAGGTTAGGATTTAAATAACAAGAGGAAAGGAGACGAATCAAGAAAGTTAATTTAGATTCGTAAAAAGTACAATATAAAATATATAGCAAAAGATATGAAATTTAAAAACAGATCAAAGTAATGATGTATGATCTTACATTAAGTCATAAAATTAAAAATTCCAAGGTCAATGACATTTGAAAGCGTGTGCAGGTATGATCTATTTTCAAATAACTAAACAAAAACATAGCGCGTGTTACGATACAAATTTAGGCATAAATAACATATTGATAACAAGAATTAAATTTAACTAAGAGATGGCGTCATTAAAAAGATTAGTTATATTTTGATGTTTAATATTGTTTTTAATTTAATAACTAATTTCTTCCATAAAATAACTAATATTTATTAAAATATATTCAAAATAGCTTGTTTTTGATAATATTCATAATTCAACTAAAAACAAGCTATTTTGAATATATTTTAATAAATATTAGTCATTTTGTGGAAGAAATTAGTTATTAAATTAAAAACAACATTAAACATCAAAATATAACTAATTTTTTTAATGACGGCATCTCTTAATTAAATTTAATTCTTATAATTATAAATCGATCTTAGCCCTTGAAAAAGTAAATAAAATATAGTTTATTTTCATCAAAAATAAAAATAGGCAAGTTAGTTCGGCCTCTCTGTTTAATAAAATAAATTTAATAGCTAATCGAGAAGTCAACGATAAAATATATATAAAGTTTTAATTTCACCTGTTAAGTTGTTGCAAAACACGATCAACATTGATGTATTAAACATGCTATACTGAATATTGTATATATACATTGAAAAAAATACGATTGTCGGTACTTTATGTATGCGATTTTTGTAACTTCATGTAGATATCATATTTATATATTAGCTTGGAAACGTCGTCCTCGATTACATACTTTAGTTTATGAACAAAGAAATATATAGAGCATTTACATGGATATCACGCAAACTTTTCAAACAACAAAAATTAATGTAATCGTGTTTCGCAAAACACTTTCATTGAATTATGGCTGATTTATCCCTTATATGTAAATGTCAGACAATGAGCTATTTTGTTCGAAACAGTCATATTTCCTTGCACCTAATATACTTATGTTATCCTAATATATCTATATCTAATTATTTGTGACACAGAGTTATGACACAGAACAGAAGAATGAAAATGAACAGCGGTAAGAGCTACGTTTCTGTTAGACACGTACTAAATTATCATTATAAATTGTGATTTTAGTCGAAATATTAGACTCGGAAGAGACTGAAAGTCAATAATTTTGTCGTTTTTTTCCCTTACTTTTTTGGCCAATTTAATGAAGAGAAAGACGAAAAAGAGAATGATGAAAATTTACGATTTGAACATGATAGAATTAAGCTGAAAGACGTGAAATTTATTTGTTTAGTACCAACTGAAAAAACACAGCAGCTTTGCAGCACCAAGAGTAGGATAATATCTACTTAAAACATTAGCGCAAAATGATTTTGAATAGAATATATCTTGATATTTTTGATTGAAGCGATTCCTACTTTTTCATCATCATATAACATTATTACAAACGTTATTATAAACGTTTAACACATATATTCTTGTGTTTTATGTAATTTCTAACAATATATTCTTTTCGGTGTAATAATTAAAAAAAGAAAAGAAAAAAAATGAAATTCAAGTAGAATGCTATATTTTGGACGTCCTTTATATTTTTGCATATTATGTACATTTTTACAGTTTAAAAATTTATCATAAATTTTAGCATAAAAATTCGCAGCCTACTTACTTATTAGTGAAAACTAATTAGTACTTACCTTATATCATTTTTTCTTTTTTAATCGATTGTTACCTTCATTCTCTTTTCCGTGTGACCAACTTCGATTAATTGGTATTTACGTCAGTATTGTAATCTGATGTTTCATTGTTTCGAGCGAAGACCTTTGCAAAAGCGCGCAGTCAGTAAATGTAAAACGCACCGTGTTAACAAACGCGCTCGAAGCCAGGTAACGAGATTTACATTTCGCAAACTCCAGTTGATCAAAATCCATTTGAAACATCGAGAACTTTTCATTTCATAAAATCAACTTATTCTTTCCAATTCTTCTCCGGTATCACAGGTTCCCGGTATTCAATTCTTTAAACAAATTCTCCAAACCAACTATGACGCATGTAGTT